CTCTCTCTCTCTCTCTCTCTCACTCTCATAAATTAATCTATAGTCAAGAAAGTTTTAGGACCCATAGAACCTATAGTGCACATTTTTGATCTTTAATCTCGTAGCAGGGATCCAATTTTTTTTCTTCTTTTTGCACTGGCCAATCCCAGTCTTTTATTCAGGTGCCTCCTACCTTTTATTCAGGTCCTACCTCCTAGGGACCAATCAGATCTGTCATTAGGGACCATAGGGCAACAGAAAATGTTAAGATACAGTTTCTATCTTTAAGTGGTTTTATAGCCCGCGTGGCAGGAAGGACCAACATGGAAGCAACAATTAGACCTGAATCCGAGACGGCACATAACTGCAAGGAGAGCGTGAGAGCCTCCAACACTGATGGAAGGAGCGTAGGAAGGTGGTCTGGGAAGCCTCTTCAGAGGTCAGGTTTGGCCTGTGCCTTCAAAATTGAGTAAGAAGCAAGTCAGACACATAACCTTTTACAGGTGGCCAGATATTCTGTCCATCATGAATATAAACAGTATCCGATTGCTGTGCATCTTTTCCTGCACATAGGTAGTGGACCTCATTGCGGGTTTTCGGTCTAGCTGTAGGCCGGTGTGAATGATCATACAGAACCCCGAGTAACCACTGCACTGTAGGCCACTGCGCCTGGCCCCCTCTGACCACACAGTGCTTCCATCCTGCCAAAGCAGTAATCGTGTTGACCACTCTCCTCCATCCAAGGCAAAGCCTTCAGTGGACTCCTACCTAGTTATTTCCACCATGAAATGAACCACATCAAATTGGCCTTGACAGTAGCAATCCATCTCTCAACATTGAGCCACAAGCAAAGGGAGATAAAGTGGCTGAGATGGCTCCGTGATGCACCTCTGACCCTCTTGAATAATCAAAACCCAGATTGTGTGGTGAAAGCCTGGCCTTGGAGGTGGCATCTGCTGTGGCTGCAGAGGCTCTAAGAAATGCCTGGTGCTTTACCATGCTTTTATTTTGTTTATGCTTCTAAACAGATCGTGTGACTTACTGTGAAAACTCTGAGAATCAGAACCTCTGGAGCCAATTTACACAGTGCTGAAATAATTAGGCACATTTCTATATGCTGACTGATTCAGAATAGATGATAATACTTTTTATTTGTAAGACTTACCTCCCACTGACATGGCTTCTAGCCAGTCACTGTGGTGACATAAACAAGGGCTGTTTCTCAGGCCATGAAGCTGGGTTCTGCCTTGACTAGACATTCCCTGTGTAGAAAGCAGTGGTTGGGATCCATCAGCGTTCAGTGTGCTTTGATTTCACACTACTTGGCGATTGTCTGAACTGATTCCTAATGAGACTGTCCATTTTATTTTAATTCAACATGGCTTTTCAGGGAGGCTTTTCCTTGTATTACTGTTAAGTGCAGTGAATCGACTCATGGTTGGCATACAAAGCAAAAGCTTTTGTTCTGAGGGGTGTTTTTCTGTTCTACTTCTAGAGCTTAGTGAACTTTCTGCCTCCGCTTCTTTTTTTTTTTTTTTTGTTACCGGGGATCGAACTCCGGTCCTTGCGCTTGCGCAGCAGGCAGTGAAACCACTGAGCTAAATCCCTGGCCCTCTGTCTCCGTTTCTTAATGCAGGGAGATGCAACAATCAGAAAGATGCTGAGCTTCTGGTGGCCTTTGGCTCTGATTTTGGCCACGCAGAGGATCAGTAGGCCCATTGTCAACCTCTTTGTTTCCCGGGACCTTGGTGGCAGTTCTGCAGCTACGGAGGTAGGTGATTTGGGGGGTGTGGGCACTTGTCATAGCCTGGGGGTGGGGGCGGCTAAGACTTGTTTGTGGCTCATTCCAAGAGCTCCGGTAACTGCAGCTCTAGACTGTGTGACGCAGTCTCCCTGGCAAGCTGGAGGCACTCACCGAGAGCCCTTCGATTCTGTGTTCTCGTGGCCGTGGGGGGAGACATCCACTGCACCCTCTCACAGAGGCACAGAAAGGAGATATTGAAGGGGCGGAGCCACTCAGGAGCTGAGCTAGTACCAATGCAGGCTTTAACTCCCACCCCGGGGCTTTTCCATGTCTCCATGGCGTCCACGTGGGGCCTCTGCTGGAGCTGCACAGGACAGTGGAACATGCCGTGTGGGGCCAGCAGTGACAGTGCCTCGAGGGAGCAGGGCCTCTGTTTGGACCCAACCCACTGTCACCTGCTTGTGGCCACCCACTCCTGTGCCACCCAACCCAGCAGGACTCCATGTGGTGTTTGGCAGTCTGCCTCTCTCCCAAAGACGATCCCTGTATCCACGCGCTCGGAACCCAAGCAGTGTATCTGGAAACTGGCAGCGACTCCAAAGAACGAGTTGACTCACTTTTTCCCCCTTTCAAGTTGGGTATGAACAAACAGAGTGACTTCACTTGTTCCCCCTCCTCTGCCTCCTGGAGAATTAACTCAGGCTCTGGCCCCACCCGCCGGTCCTGCAGGAGGCTGGTGGCTGCTCATTAGGGCCTCCTGTGTACACGTGGCTGTGCGAAGGAGTGGCTGAGCCCTGGACTGCGCTGTCAGCAGGTCCCCGGCCGGGGGCATTGTGCCAGTTTCCATGTCCTGGGAAGCAGCTAATGTTGGCAGGGAAGCAGCAGCCCATAAATCAAAAACAGAATGCTTTCTCTTGCCTCAGTTTGTTCCCGGAGTTTGTTTTTAGAATCATGGATATCATCTTGGGTGGCTTCTGTAACACAGCAGCTTCTTAGGTTGAGGATGTAAAATTTCCCAGTAAAAAGCATGGGACACCCATGACCTGTGTGCTAGAATCCCATCTTTGCTTTCAAACAGACAAAAAGGGATGTCTCTGTACTAGCACCATTTGAAAGCTGCCAGCAGTGGCGTAGAAGCGCAGCATGTGGGTGCAGGGCTGAACTTTGGGGACCATCTGCTTATGCATCAGGCATTGTGTGCATTGCCTGGGCTCCCGTCACCCCCGTCACGTGGGGGGCTTGCCTGTGTTCTTCACATGCTGGCCACTGCTCCTCTATTCTTTAAAGGAGATGAAGCCTGGCTTCCTCCTTGACTGATGAGTTAAAGAGTTGAACTTTGCCACGCTGAGCACGAGATGCTATTTTCATTTTTCTTCCTTTTCATGCATATAAGAGAAGAAACTCATTTTCATGGAAACACATCAACAGCTGTATGAAACATTTATGAGCTTTATTAAATTAAACCTTAACTCAGGCCGTACCAAGTGAGCAGCCTGGAAGGAGTTGAGTTGGAAAGCAAGAGTGGCAGAAAGCCATCAACAGATGTATAGTGTCAGCCACCTCAGAAGATGAAGATGAAGAGGTGTGCCCCGGGCGGAGACTCTGGAGAGCAGTGAGGACTCCCAGTTTCATTCTGAGATGGAGAACTGGGCTGGACTGGAGGGCCCTCAGTGGCACAGTGGAAAGAGCAAAGACTCCAAGGAACCGGGGTTGAAACCTTGGCTTCTCCAGCCAGGGCTCTGGACCTGCTTCTCACTGGGTTCTCCCGTGTCGTCTGCGCTCCGGCCAATCCTGTGCCAGCTGATGCTGGTCACCCAGTGTAGGGGGTCTGCCGCTGGCCCTGTTACCGGCGTGGCAGCTGCTGGAGGACCTTCTCCCAGTGTCCACACTAACGCTGCCCTCTCTTCTCTTGCAGGCTGTGGCAATTTTGACAGCTACGTACCCTGTGGGCCACATGCCGTACGGCTGGCTGACGGAAATCCGCGCTGTCTATCCTGCTTTTGACAAGGTGAGGCCTGTGCGGAGTAGTGTCAGAAACATGCTTTTTGAAGTTACCGTTTGGTAGACGGAGGCCTCCGAAGAGGCACTCGCCGTTCCTTGAGCCCAGCTCCTTTTGTAAGGTTAACAGAGGTCGGGGCTGTTGAAGGTAGCTGTGGAAACTGTCCCTGTGAAAACAACAGGTTGAGGTGAAGTTTACCTCCATGCCGAGCCTGTCATGCTTTTCCAAACTGAATATTCCTCTGGCCATTTTTTAGGTTGTTCCTATTTTGAAAAATTACTTGCTTGCAAAAGGGAAGATAAACTCTTAAAAATATTAAATATGTTAGATTGTGTTTCTGTAGCTTATTTCTTTATTCACCTAGCACCTTACTATCTCATAGCAGGTGGCAGAGGTGCAGACACAAAGCTGGGGCCGGAGCTCGCAGGCACACGGCTGTCTTTCTATGCCTTCCTGCTTGCACACATGGTCTGTGCAGCAAGACTTTGTCAGCTTGGTTCTGGTGGGGCAGACTTATTCCGGCTGAAAACCTGTGGACAGCAGCTGTGTCCTCCCCCAGCTGCTGGCCCCAGAAAGGGAGAGAGGCACATAACTATTATGATCTCGGTGGGGACATCCTGGGTTTCATTCAGTAAATGTCTGTTTCATTACAACTCCTTTATTGGAACCTGTAGGCTTTTACCTTCAAACAAATAGTAACACAACCTACCAAAAAGTAGCACATGGTGTTTGTTTGTTTGGGCTTTTTTAGTTCTTTTACTGGTACATTTTAGGTATACAATTCATTTACATTTATCATTGGGTGCTTGTACCTGTACATGACGTATCTTAGTTCTTATTTTTTCCCCATTACCTGTGTGCCTTTCACCCCCTCCACCCTTCTCTATTTACATAGATTTCATTTCCATTTTTTTTTCTTTTCTCATAGTTTTTCCTTTCCCTCTTTTCCTTTCCCCTTCCCCTCCCTTCACTCCTTCATCTTTGGACCATTTATACTATCAGTTTCTCACACTAGAGAAAGTATTCGGTATTTACACATGTGTGTCCTATTTATTTCACTTAAAAGTATCGCCTCGATATGCATCCATTTAGCTATAAATGACTCTAGTTACTCATTCTTTATGGCTGAGTAGTACTCCATTTTATTAAAAAAACCACCTTTTTCTTTATCCAGTCTCCAGTTGATGGGCAATTGGGCTGCTTCCAAGCTTTAGCTATTACAAACTGTGCCACTATAAACATGGGTGCACATATATCCCTGTGGTATGATTCTTTAAATTCTTTGGGGAAGATCCCCAGCAGGGGAATAGCTGGGTCAAATGGGACTTCCAGTCCTAGTTCTTTGAGGCATCTCCATACTGATTTCCACAGTGGTTGCACACGGTGTTTTAAATGGAAAAGAAGAAAATAGCCTGCCGCTTGCACCATTAATACATGTTGTTTTGCCTTGAATTTCCATAGTGTGGGCTTAGGGCCCTTCCTGATACTGTTTTCTCTTATCCCACAAAGAGCCCCATGCAGGGAGGAGAGGAAAAGCCTTCAGCAGGTCAGAGGTCCCCAGCAAGTCAGCTCTGGCAGAGCAGGCAGCCTTGGCTTGGAACCTGCACCTCCCCTGTCCTGTCCTCAGCTTGCCTGGGCACAGAGCCCTCAGAAGCCACTCAGGCAAGGGCAGGCCACAGGCTGCCTTCGCCCCCTTTCCTTCCTGCAGCTGCCTGCTTCTGACATGCCCCCTTTAAACTGGGTATGAGCTTTGGGAAGTACACCCCTGTACCCCACCTTGCACGCTGGACCAAGGGCGCCCCCCCAGCCTCTCGGGGAGTGGGAGTGGACCTCCTCAGCTGTCTGTCCGTTAGCACCTGACACCTGCTGCAGACACATGGGATACCTGGGTGCAGAGCTTCTCCCAAGAAATGCTTCTGACTGCGCCCCAGGGGCCCAGAGTCACCGACAAGAGAGCAGGCATTCTGTGTGCAGTGGGTTTAATGCAGTCTCCACGCAGAAATCACTGTTTTCCTTTCAAGGAACATACTATAGGGAGTTAAATTCTAGAAAACCAAAATGGATGGAAGTCTTGCCAAATTTCGGTTCGAGCTCTAGAGAATAAGATTGTGTAATGCAGCTTGCTGACAAGAGCATTTGCTGAAGTGGCAGCGCCTCCTGGCTGGAAAAACCCCAGCTGAAGCTGGTTCAGGCCGCCTGGAATAATAAAGCTTAGCAATACCATACTATATGGCTTCAGTAGGAGCCTCCCAGAACAATACTGTTTTATTTCTAACCACAAAGGTGAGAAGCTATGAAAAATTCCTTTAACGAGCGTACCTCTGGCCAGAAACTGGGTTACTCAGAATCCTTTTAAAACCTCGCCCTTTGTATCCATGCATGCCAGTGAGCAGCACCAAGCCACTTAGGGGAATCCCGTGCAGTCCCTGACATCTCAGGCTCTCTATGAAGACTCCCTGAATGTGCTGCCTTGGCTGTGGAAGTCCTCATCCTCTCCATGGGTTCCAGGATAAGCGATTCAAAATCTCTCACTTGCATGTGGTGATTTTAGCTAAGTATGAACTGAGAGCTTTCCACCGGTGCAGTTCTCATCTGTGAACAGTGTGTTTCTGAGCATATCGGCCAAGCCAAATGAAGCATCCCTGCTAATCTAGTGATGCCGGCATTTGTTTCCAACACGTGTCCCCGCCGGGGCTCCAGCACATGGGTGCAGGTACACTGTGCATGTGGCCGGGTTGCCTGACTCTCAGAGTGCCCTGTCTCACAGCAGCAGGGCACCCCAGATGGGTGGAGACAGAGAGCCCCAGCACGCTGGACGTGTGCCCTTCTTTGGCAGCAGCCCGTTAGTCAGAAAGGCAGCTGTGCTTCAGAGAGGGCACTTAAGAAAGTCGTGTAGAGCTTTGTGCTGCGGTGTCCTCGAGGGGAAGGGAGGACAGATTCTGTAGCCCCAGCCTCCACACTGAGGGAAATCTCGCCCTTCCCAGCAGGGTCCCGAGCAGCTGTGTCGTTGTTCGTTGCCTTAGCCTGGGTGCGGAGCCCAGTGTCGAGGTTGTTTCTGTCTGTCGGCTCTGGGCTCATTGGCTCGATAATAAGGCAGGGGTTCTCTTCCCTGCTGATTTTCCTGGCCCTGGGGCCAGAACATGGGATGGAGCAAGGTTGTGTGGCAGTGAGACCCAGAGAGCCTCAGATTGGTGACCTACCAGAGGACATCCGGGCCGTTGGACGAATTCACTTACAGCCGTTATAACAGATGCTCTCCGGGAGCCTCTGCTCGAGAAAGATTGTGGCACCAAGCGCTTCGGAGCCCGGGAGGCAGTGGGCACAGTGCTTGATCTCAGCAGTGCACAGCCCCCCAGGGGATGGGGAGTGTCAGACACGACCCCAAGGATCATCAGGAAGAGAGGCCCAGAGAGAGCTAGAAGCCAGGGGTCACAGGTAGGCTGCAAAGGGCATGGGCCCTGAAGAGACTGCTGTTAGGAATCAAGAGACCAACAGCAGCAGGAGGAACAAAAGCACCCGTGTGTTGGGGAAAGCAGGGAGTCCTGTTTGGGAGACAAGTGGAGAAATGACAAAGGGAAAGGGTCTGGGACCTTCCAAGCAAGGCCTGGTGCCCAGGGCAATTTAAGTCCGTTTGGTAGGGAAGAGAGCAGCAGAGGCCACCGAGCAGGGCTTGGCACAAAGCAAGACGACCCTGATGACTGGGCACAGCAACTGCAGGCTGCAGGGCCGAGGTCCTGGGCGGGGCGAGGCGGGCAGCCCGGTGCCCGGGGAGGCCTGACTCAGCGCAGAGGCAGTGTGGTGCTTTTGCGTGTGCGAGAATTGATAGCTGTCCAGAGATGGCCTTCCGGGCTGTGCCTTGAATCCACACTCCAGGCGCATCACATAGAACAAGATGCTTGCTGAGATCCCGGGAGTCAGCGGAGGATAAGCCAAGCCCCTCACCCCTGCCGTTCTCTTTCCCCAGAACAACCCCAGCAACAAACTGGCGAACACAAGCAACACAGTCACATCGGCTCACATCAAGAGGTTCACGTTCGTGTGCATGGCCTTGTCGCTGACGGTAAGGGGACCCAGTGCCCCATTCTGTTCTCTCTCTCTCTCTCTCTCTCTCTCTCCCTCCCTCCCTCAGAGGGAATTGCCATTTTCAAGGGAGGACTCTTGTATCCCTGATGTTTGCTGTGCTAGATTCATTACAACCTCTTCCCAACATGTAATTGACTGCTCTTCAAGGAGGTCATATTTAGGGGGGAAAAAGTCTACTGCTGTATTTCTCAGGACACCTCACATGATCCATGAAGGCAGACTTTGCCTTTAATTTGAATACTGCTCTTGTCTCGCTAAGGAATTTCCAACTCATTTTCTGAACATCCAAAGTCAGCTTTATAACCATCGCAGTCCTTTCCCCAAATGGAATCGGTATTATTTCAGTTTCCCTGTAAAAGTTCCTCTCCTAACCGCCCTATACTGGTGCAGCCAACTTACTTGTCCTGATTTGCCTGGCCCCTACTGGGTCTCAAGCCCTGTCTCTCTTCGAGGATATGGCTGTGAAGGACTGGGTGACACTGAGCCGTCACCAGCATCTGCCGGTGTCTGGGTACACATCCTTGAATAGGCAGCACACACTCTCCCTCTACCAGCTCCCATGGCCAAGTCCCATGCGTGAGGTCGTGTTCCAAAGTACGGGAAGAATATGTGCATGGTATGTAAGATGGTTTATGACAGGTATCACCAGCAGCAGAAAACCCAACAGTTACAAGCACCCTCACGTGGCAGACTGTGCCCTTCGGGGTGTAACGATGGAGACCATGATGATAAAGAGAATTATGTGTTTTCTGTCTTGCTCTGTTTTGTTTTTGTAATTCTAGGGATCTTTGCACTGAGCTACATCCCTGGCCATTTTTCTGTTTTTATTTTGAGACAGGGTCTTGCTAAGTTGCCCCAGCTGGGCTCAAATGCAGTCTCCTGTCTCAGCCTCCCATAGTGCTGGGGTTATAGGCATGCACCTGCACCCAGCTGAATTATGGCCATTCGTTTCCCTTGTTTGTTGTTGTGGCTACATCTGTCCTATTAAGTCCTGTTCGACACCTCCATTTGTATACACGATGTCAGTGATTTCCAGAAAGGCCCGGGTCAGTGCAGTGATGCTCATAACTAACCAGCCCTGTAGCTGAGGCCTGAAGTGTTAGGCTCTGCTGTGAGCAGAACACAGTACCTCTTGTCCTTACCATATCATAAGAACCATTCAGCTTCATGAACTGCATTCATAGCCCTTCAAATTGAGTCCTGCACATGTTTTAGGCCTTTAATGGACATTGTTGCAAAACCCACAGCTTAATATTTGCTCATTGGTCCAACAGCTGAATGGACTGTGATAGGGAGAGCAGGAGATGCCCCACGCACCACCGAGGGATGACCTCATGCTCTCAGCCAGCCCTCCAGGGCTGCCCCTCCCGCTGCGTCCTGTGAAATGCGGGTGTGGGAAGCCCAGTCCTCGGCCTCTTCGCTGGGTGGGTGGGGGATTTCTGACAGCAGTGTCTGCTGGAGTTAGACTGGTGACCCCAGGCAAACCCTCTCTTCCTTTACGGGCATTCTCTCTTCCTGTGGCGTACAAGTTTTTCCATGGTTCCCTAAAATATTGGCAAAACACGGAACAACTCTGAAACAGTTTAAAAGAGCATTTTAGGGAAAAACAGAGAAGTTTCTATTCCAGAGCAGACCTCGGCTTTTGGAGTCAAAAGTTGAGTTGAGTCTGAAGCCAGATTCTGTGACTTGACTCTCGCAGGCCCGGGAAGTTGGCAGCTCTCCACTGTGGCCGCCTGCCACTGGAAGTCACTCCTGTCTTCTCTCGCTGTGTAGACAACTTCCCACAGCAAGTGTTGAGTACAGTAGAGGACTTGACTTCATCGGGTGCAAGGACAGCCCTCTCTCGTGGTTCATGGGCATCAATTTGTACTGCTAAAAAATTATTCTGCAGCAAGTTTGTTTAACATAATGATAATTTAGGATCGAAAGAAGTGATTACACATCTCCCAAGTCAAGGTTTTATTTCTTAGATTATTCTAATTCTAGGTCTCTGTAGCTAGAAGTATCTCAAGGTAAATTTTCACTCAGAAATAAAGACTCAGAGGGCCAGGGATTTAGCTCAGTGGTTCCAGCGCCTGCCTCGAAAGCACAAGGTCCCAAGTTCAATCTCTGGTACCCTCCCCCCACCCCAAAAAAAGAAAGAAAGACTCAGAACTCTTTGTTGGAGGGGAACTTGGAGAACACTAGTCAGAACCTGTGATTTTTCAGAAAAGGAAATGACTCGGGACACGGAAATCGTCCAAGTACCCAGTAGTAGAACTGGCTGGAACTCAGCCTGTGGGCCCTGTCTGGTGAATGACACTGTCTCCAAAGAACAGGAACAAGGACAGGGTCCTTGGCACCGTGTTGGAAGGAATGGCAGCTTCCCCAGCACTGAAAAGTGTGGCGAGTGAGCGTGCAGCTCATGAAGTATCTCGCGTCTGGTGTCCTCACAGCAGTTCCGGCGATGGAGCCGATCAGACTTGTCATTAAAAGGCACATAAAGGGGCCAGGGATTTAGCTCAGTGGTTTCGCCCCCTGCTGCACAAGCACAAAGACCCGAGTTCGATCCCCAGTACCAAAAAGAAAAAAAAAGGCACATAGAAAATAGGTAAAGCAAGATTTCTCCAAAGTTAAGCGTTAAACTGTCACTATAGCGCATGCATAGCTTTTTAGTATATGTGCTGCCGAAGTTGGCACACACACCCATAGCTTCTTATGTCACTGCCATATTCATCGTCACTCTTACTCCCTAAACTTCATAACACAGGTCTGTGATGCAGCCCCCAGGCCTGCGATTGTGCTGACACCGGGAGGGGACACAATAATCAACCAATTCTTTCGCATGGGTAAGGGTCACAGAGGCACCCACACTGCTGTGGTGGGATTCAGAGGTGGGGTCGAGCCCCAGCACCACACACACCACTTAGCAAGTGACAATCTGCTTATCTATGCTCATTTTATCCTATCTTAAAGCTCTTAAAAGGCCGTTTCCTATTGAGTCTATTTTAATTTCTTTACTTTATAAACATCTTAATGTCTGGAAATAAACATAGCAGAAGTCACCAGAATACTCAAGAGCATCATGCTTCATGTTCTTTCCAGGGTATGTCTTTTTTCCAGTCCTTTTTTCAGTCTTTGCCCTGACTTCATCCTAAGCTTTTTTTATTTTGAGGTAGAATTTCACTGAGTTTCCCAGCCTGGGCTGGAACCTACAGTCCTCTTGTGTCAGCCTCCTAGAATGCTGGAATTAGAGGCATGAGCACCACAGCAGGCTTGCAGCATATGATTTTATGTACAAAGTAGGAGCTTCACAATGATTCACTCTGGGTTCAAGTCTGACTTTGCCTGTGAAAAATAAGGCTACACCACATTTGACACTTAATTAGAGGTGGAATACTGCAGTATATCTGTATTTATTTATTCCCTGTTACAGATTTTTCAGCTTAAAGTTAGATGACCTCTTCCTGCTCTAAAACTTTGTTCTGTGGTCATACTTTCTCCCAAAAGCTACCTTTAAATCACTGCATCTTAAGAAAAGCAGCCAATGCCACCCCCCCACCCCCGCCGCAGCAGAGGAGGAGCGGCAGGGAGGCAGGAGCATTTCCGTTTCCTGCTCCTGTTCCTGCATCTTGCTTACAGTCCCGTGCACACTCAGGTGCTGACTGACCTCTTCAGACCATCAGATGGGGCCAGGGCGTCTTTAATCCCTCCAAAAGATTCCCTTCAAAACTGCAGATCGTTGGGCGGATGCCCCCGAGTAGCAGTGAGGCAGTGGCCGTAATGCAGACTGAGGTCAGCCAGGTGGCCGCAGACCAGCCAGCTGCTCTCTGGGGTGAAGGAAGACCCGGGGACGCCGCTGGCCGGACAGCTCGGGAGGGCGTGCATGTCACAGAAAGCAGCCTTGTTGCTGACTGAACCGCAGGTGCGTGATCCAGGTGTAAAGGGAGAGGCAGAGCCTTGGGGAGCAGGCGGCCCCTAGGCCTGACCTTCCTGCAGAGCTGTGGTCCCGTCACGCATGTCCTAAAAGGCTTTTTCTCTTGGCGGGCCGTGTGGGGTCACAGCCTGGGAAGGGGGCAGTGAGTGCCCTTGAGAAGGGAGCCTCCTTAATTAGGGAAGGCAGCATTCTGGCAACTCTGAGCCTGCGGAAACTGCTCTCAAACCGTGAGGTCTGTCGTGGTCCCTCCCAGACTCGAGATTTGGGAGTAAGATGGAAAGCGCTAACCGGCGTGGGACTCATCTGCCAGACAGTGCTGTTGGTGGGAAAAGTGTTCAGGTGGGTGTCAGAACACCAGGCCAGTTTGGTGAAAGCCAACATGTTGGGCAGCTAAACTCACCAAATTTGCCTCTTTACCCAAAACATTTCAAAAAACAAAGCTGGGTGTGTTGGCACCCAGCTGTAATCCCAGCACTCTCAGGAGGCTGAGGCAGGAGGATCACCGAGAGTTCGAGGCCAACCTGGGCTACATAATAAGTTCAGGGCCAGCCTGAACTACAAAGTGAGACCCTGTCTCAAAAAACAAAACAAAACAACAACAAAAAAGCTCTTTCTGTAGTTTATACCAAATCATATTAAACAGCAAAGTGTTAACCGTTTGGCCGCTTCTAGTTGACCAGTTTGCATTTTGACTTCACAGACAGCACCTTAAGAGCACTTGATGCCGCTCTTCTCAAGCTCCCTGCTGCATTAGCTATGGGCAGCTGGTGCCCAGAGCCAGGAGAAGAAGCCATGCGGGCACAGGCCTGGTTGCTGCTGCGGCGTCCGGGGGGCTCCTGGCGAATGGGCAGGGCTGCAAGGGACAGGGGTCGCCCACACCTCCATGCCCAGCACCCCGTGCGCCAGACCCAGAGGAAGCCGGAGGAGGGGACAGAGGATCAGGGAAGGGAGACTGCATGCCAGAGAGATGGAGAAACCACGGTCAGAACGAACGGGGAGCTCGCCACCGAACGATGGAGCGAGATGGGGCGGGGCAGAGACGCGGTCAGGGCACAGCTGAG